TATATATATATATATATATATATATATATATATATATATATATATATATATATATATATATATATATATATATATATATATATATATATATATATATATATATATATATATATATATATATATATATATATAAGCCCCTCGGAAAAAAAGTCCACTGGGTTATTTGTGTCTGATGATGTAGTGACGGGTTTTATAAAAATTCCCAGCTACTTTCATGTCTATTTTTCATAACAAGTCCCCCGAGTTTATTTAAGATTCACTCATCTTTTGTATGGGGAGTGTCCAGCTTGTGCAACTCGACCCCATGTAAGGAGCGTCTAATAATACTCGATCCTTAGGCGAGGAGTGTTAAATGATAGAACTTGACCCTTATGGGGGGTGTTTAATGATAGAACTCAACCCTTAGGTCGGGGAGTGTTTGATGATGCATATAGAGGTCTGGAGGCTTAACTGACTTAATACCATAGGTTTTAAGTGTTTTTAAACTTTTTGATGGATCAGAGCCTCTCTTAAGGTTGGATGAGTAAGTCCAGAACCTTGGCGAGGTTGACCGGGTTTGTGAGAGGCTTCGAGTGCACTTAGTATTTTTGCCGGATCAGAGCCTTTTTTAAAGTTGGTCGAGTAGGTCCAGATCCTTGGCGAGGTTGACCGAGTTTGCAAGAGGCTTCGAGTGTGCTTCGTCTTTTTTCAGATCAAAGCCTCTTTTAAGGTTAGCCGAGTAGGTCTAGAGCCTTGGCAAGGTTTACCGAGTTTGCGAGAGGATTCGTGTGTGCTTTGTCTTTTTGGCGGATCAGAGCCTTTTTTAAGGTTGGCCGAGTAGTTCCAGAGCCTTGGCGATGTTGACCGAGTTTGGGAGAGACTTCGAGTGTGCTTCGAATTTAGTTAGGCCATAGGTGTTATTTAATGTTACCTTATCAAAGCCGATTAGGATAGAGGCTTTAAGTGCACTTGTACTTCAATTACAAATATTTGATTTCACTTTGGGTGCCTCATTAAAAACCCTTGCCCTTGCAAGGGAAAAAGTGCATCCCGTACATTTATTAGCAGTTTTATTACATAGTTTTAGCTAAAGTAAAGCCTGAGATTGGATACATTCCACGTCCTAGGTATTTCTAAATCATCCAGAGTTTCTAATTTGTAAGCCCCATTTTTTACTTATGAAGTACCTGGTATGGGCCTTCCCAGTTCAGAGACAACTTTCCCTTGTTCTTAGGGTCAGTAATATTTTTTAGGACTAGATCTCCTAGTTAAAATCCTCTCTATTTGAATTTCAGGTTGAGCCTCTTAGCTAATCTTCTATTGACTGCAAACTCTCTGATTCAGGCTATTTCTCGGACCCCGTCCACCATGTCAGCCGAACTATTCAAGTCTTCCTTATTGGATTCTTAATCAACGTGCTCCCTTCTCCATGTAGGGTTATTGATCTCAAATGGTATCATGGCATCTTCCCCGTACACCATTCTAAAAGTTGTTTCTCAGGTGGTGGAGTGACGGGTTGTATGGTACGACTAAAGGATCTCTAGAAGGTACTCGGACCACAGGCCCTTCGCGTCATCCAGTTTCTTCTTCATTCCCGCCAAGATGATTTTGTTGGCCGCTCCGGCTTATCCGTTGGCTTGAGGATGCTCCACTGATATGAATTTGTTTTGGATGCCCAGGTCATGCAGAATTTCACCATGGTTGAGCTCGTAAATTGTGTACCATTATCAGATACTATGACTCAGGGTAACTCGAACTTGCAAATGATATTTTTCCAATAGAAGTGTCGTACTCTTTCAATGATCTTGGTAAGATAACTTATATGAATGAACTATTAATCATGGCTTTCGAAGTAAAACAAGTGTTTTATGTCAATGCACTTCAGACAAAAAATGGTTAACTTTTCTATAAAAAAATACATTCCTCATAATGAAGAAAATAAAGATTTAAATTTTGATATTCTCGAGACCCCTTCTTTCACAACACATGTGCATTACTTTATATGAAGAAGTTAATACATATGATGTGCATGGTACTCGTTATGATCATGAAGAAGACATATGGAAAAACAAAAAGTAAATATTTTTATTGTTTATTCATAATTTATTTTTTTTTATAATTTCAAAGAGTTTATACACGTGTCCAACAAGTGTTATACCAACAAGTATTATTATTTAAAATTACAGGTGTTTAGAGACAAGACACTAAAAGATATTGGGTCATGTTCTACATATTGCTTCCTTCAGAATAATGAATCTAGTGCAAAATAATTATTATGTTAGTTATTTACTTGTTTGATGTAATGATATTAAATGTATGCCATTTTAGATCTATTTTTGTTTTGATATAATAAGACAATTATTTTTGTTCATATCCGTTTCTATTTTGATTTTGATTCGCAAATGTATTGTTGTTGTGTTATGATTCATAAAAATACAGGTTATAATAATGAGGTTTATGTAAACTCAAAAAATATATATTTTAAAAAATAACATATTTCACCACAGTTAGTTCTTTCAACTTTGGTGAGAAGCATAAAAAACAACTATTAGATTTGAATGTCAGCAGACGCTTAAAGCGTAAAAACCAACGCTAATATGGGTTTAACATCGGATTTAGCGTCGGTATCGGGCCTTGGACAAAACCTTCGAAGCTATTGCACATTGTTGGCTATAAAGCAGTTGAGGCTACTTAGCCTCGACTAAACCGAGGCGAAGTAGACGCTAACAGGGACCGACTCTATATTATTCAATAGATGAAAAGTAAAAGATATATGTAGCATTACTCAAGTCAACTCTAAAATCAACAAAGAAAAGTCAACAAATATCTATAGTCAACCTAACAAGTGAATAAATATGTTTAGCATAAGCCGACTATAAAGTCAACAAAGAAAAGTCAATAATACCTTGTAGTGTCGATTGAACTGCTCCTATAGTAAATCAAGAAAAGTCAATAAATATGTTTAGCATCAGCTATGCGACTCTAAAGTCAACAATTCTTAGTAGCATCGATTTTGCTGATTCTATAGTCAACCTAGAAAAGTCAATTAAAATATTTAGCGTCTATTATGTCAACTCTAAAGTCAACAAAAAATCAAAAAATACATTTAGCATCGTCCTAACCAACTCTAAAGTCAACAAATAAAAGTAAAAAACTTTAATTGATATTGTTTGTGGGTGCATATCAGTGACGAGCATCGACATCCCATAATAACAATCCTTTTATACACTCAAAATTCATCATATACCATAATAAAGGAAAAAGGTTATAACTTCAAGAATTGATACATCTACTATTGGTTCAGTTATGTAGTTGTTACTGGTTCAGTTATGCAATGAGTGACTAAATATATCAAGTCAAGTAAAAAATTAAATGACAAAATAAATGTGGTTGGTTAAACAAAATTGACCCGAAAAAAAGTAGCTAATTACACTATGTTTAGACACTGATTCATTAGAACAAATTAATATTTTATCAGAGTGAACCAGGATAATTCATAATGAATATTCAAAATGAGATTCATATTCAAAATAAATACTCACTAGAAATCAGTAGTATAGGTTAAGTTCACTTTTGCATCCAATTGAGATATGGCTCATATGTATCATGCGATATTGTCATACTGTAATAACCATTCTATCCTACCACAACATTTATGGATCAAAATTTCCTCTAAGAATTCTCCCGTAAACGCATTAAATCATATCATTAAAGAATTCTTAGAGGAAATTATTCCATCTCTAACATTGTTTTGTATAAAAAATGAAAATTTGAATTTGTTATGGCATTTTAGCATAAATTAATTTTGATGACACTGTCGCTTAATTTTTTAACTATAGTAAAATAGTTTAAAAAATCAGTAAATATATTATTTATAAATAATTGCTTTTTATAAAATGAATTTTTTGTATCTCTATTAAAAAGTCTAAATATTAATCAATACAAAATTGTTAAGTTTATAATTATAAGTATTAAATTTTTAATAAAAAATAAATATTAGTTTGAATGAAATTTTTAAGATATAAATAATATTTGATACAATTATATAAAATACGTAAATAACTATATATTTTTAATTTTTAATTTTGAATAATTAAAATAAAAAACTAAAAATACGATTAACAAAAATTGCACATAACTAAAGTAAGAAAAAACCATAATTATATTAAAGTCTAGCAAGAAAAATTAGCTGACCTAATATTTGAGTTAGAAATATAAAATTAATCTAAATTATTTCAAGTTTTATCTCACTTATCCTACTTAACTCTAAATAAATTTCAGTTTCCCTCATATTTTTTTGGAAAAAAAAATTCCCTCTCACTTTTTCCATTAAAAATTAAATTATCCTCTTTCAAGTTTTTCCCTTAATAAAAAGAACATAAACTCAATGAATTTTTTTATCTTACCGATGATCATAACCTGTAATAGGCCGTTATTTGTGTATGTAATACTGAAATTAAGGAGGAGGATGTGTACATGCAAGACACTTTGATGTTCAAGTAAGTAAGGTGCAAAGAGATACAAGAAGATGATAAGGTTTTAGAATTGAATAATGGATGTATGACCCTCACAATTATGAGAGTTTATATAATGCCCCTGACGCTTGACCATTGGTTCCCATTTTTGTGCCTAGATATCAGGCCCCCAAAAATAGGTAATTGCTAGAATTTCTGTGTGAAAGCAAGAACGAGCAGCTCGTGCTCGTGATCCTGGGGAGAGGTGTCAGAAACTCGCCGTTATCGCGGACAAAGATACCCGGAACTAGCCATTTCCATGAACAAGAATGTTGTCGCGGGTAGGCGTGGTCTTCATCTTCTCTGGGGCCTTACGACCACGCGACCAAAGCTGTCGGGCATAAGGGAAACATGCCCTCTACTAGCCCTAGGTTGTTTGGGCCAATTCTTTTGGGTCATTTTGGAGCAGGAGTGGATTAGGCCGTACCTAGTCGCTGGCCCAATCAAGAACATGAGCCCTCTAAATCGTTGCTTCTAGACATAAGAGCAATGGCTTAGAGTTAGCACATGTGTCGGGGTTTGCTTAACTTGAGCCAAAATGAGTTTGCTTGTAAAATCCCAGAGACTTTTATCGACTTGAAAAACTTAGAGTTTTTGGATTTAAGCTTCAACTGTTTTGGTAACTTTGGTGTCCCTTTGTTGTTAGGAGAATTTCACAAAATGAAGGAAGTTCATTTAAGTGGGAACTCGCTCTTTGGTCAGATTCCAGAAATATGGGAAAAACTTAGTGGTGTTGAAAAAATAGAATTTTTTAAAATGGGGTTGGTTGGTGAAATCCCACCTTCAATGGGGGTTTATTTGAAAAATCAGTCTTATCTTAGGCTTGATAACAACAACCTTGAAGGTCTTATTCCTGAGAAATTCAAGTTTCTTTTGAAGACTGCTAATGAGATAAACTTGGAGAACAACAATTTGAGTGGTAGAATCACTTACACATGTGGAGGAAGAGTTGGACGAAAGATGTTGAAGTTGGGAGGAAATATGGGACTGTATTTGAAAATCAATGATAGTTGTTGTTGTTGTGAAAATGGAGGTAGCATGGATCACTGTTGTTGTACCCCAAAATTTGTCCTCTCAATTCTCAAGGCTTTTCTCACAAAGATTCTCAGGGTTCAAGCTTGCACAAGTGCATTGGGATCTTCCAGTACCAAGTTAAAAATAAAACAAATAAAATTGTTTTTGACAAATTAAAAGAAATGGCAAGCCTGTTTCAATTGGGCATATGCTGCCTGCAAGTGTGTTGGTTAATTTTAAGAGACGAGACATCATCGTCTTATCCGAGTGGAAGAACATACTTACTATCCACGATTATGAGAAAGGAGAATTTACGTCATCTCAAAGTGGAGGATATAACCTGGATTTTAAAATCAACAAAGTCTCACTCAACACCCAAGTGTAGTAGCTCGCATCACTACAAAGATTAACAAGAGTCTAATCTTTTGAGAAAATTTTTAAAGTAAAAATCCAAAAAAGGCAAAATGGTTTGAATGAGATTGATTTACTTTTAGTCTTCTCACAAAAATGTCAAGGTATTGTTAAATTGTTTAAAGTTTGATTAAGAAAAGATTTTTGAAAATGCATGGCCCTAAGTCCAAGTTTATTGTGAAAGCGGTTCAAGTTAGAAACAAGAAGAGTTTTCAAAAGGAGGGAGAATATTTTTGAAATTAAATAAGATAGGAGGAGATTAAGGGACTATCATAAAGCATAAAGTAAAAGCTAGGGAAAAGAACCATCTAACCAACAAGAAGCCAACACTTGACACAACGAGTCAATATAGAATTCACATCCTTTAGATTTGAAACCAAACAAACAAAGATAATAAACCTCTTAAGAAAACCAAGCTTCAAAGGAAATAAGTCTTCATAAATATTGGGCAGAGAAAAGGCTGTATCCAGATGAATTCCCAATCACAGACAAAGTATGTACTCAGAATAACCTGCACATAAAGCAAACAAACAACCCAATGTTTTGGGGTAAACCCCAAGAACTCTAGACAAAATATCAATAGAAGTCACAAGGTCTCAAGGTATGTCGAGGCTTTTGATCCTAAGTCCAAGAAGTCCATCACTCCATAATGCCAAGGATAGTAACCATATAGTCCAAGTAACATTAAAGATTTTTTATTGTTCAAGTTGGCTATTAGGTATCTTCAAAAAGAAAATGAAAAGCTCAAGTGAGAAAAGATGAAAATAGCATGAAGTATAGATGTTAAAATAAATGGTGCATAAGTAAAAAGCATAAAGTAAAAGCATAAAAATGAAGTCAGTTGCTAATGAGTTAGAAATTAGAGGTTAGTTGAATGACCATCTTGAAACTTTCATTTGAAAACTCATTAGAAGATTGAAAAAATCAAATCCTCTCAACAACAAGTTTCATTTGCTTTTTTCTAAGAATATCATTCATTTAAAGTTCTCAAGGCAACAATAGATGATCAACGATGTTTAAGTGATTTACTTTTCCCAAACCTTATGAAGATTCATTATAGGATAGATAAGATCAAAGTCTCCTAACAATGAATCTCAAGGTTATTGGATCAAAGGATTAAAATTAACATACATGGGCTTACAAACATGGGTTTAGGCAATGAATGATCATTTTTTAAATCGGGACAAAATTTAGCGTTGTGTTAAGCAATCATAAGCGGACTTATGTAGAAGTCGCACCTATTTTGAGGCCGGTCAATAGCAATATATGTACAACATGTTTTGAGAAGTGATATGTAAATCATTCTCCAACAACATGTAGTACAAGTAAGAATGGGATAAGATGAAGAGGGAAGGGATGTGTTAGATGAAATTTAGCTTCAAATATCATCAACATCATTCATCCATCTTGATGGATTTGGTTTTTCAACCTATCAACACCCAAGATCCAATGATGTTGAAGAATTTGTCCTAAAATTACTTCTATGTCAGTATCAAATTCCAAATCAAAAGTTAAACAAAAATTGTGTACAAAAGTTCTTAATTACAAACTTTGATCAAAAGCAAAACTCTAAATACATTCCTAAGTCAAAAATAGGTTAAAAAGGAAAGTAATTTGAAAAATTATGTGCATTTAATTATAATCTCATAATGACTTCTAAAAGTCAGAGGCATGACTCAAAGTTCCTGAAAAGAAGAGGAAATATGTTTTTGATATTTAAACATTAAAACTAGTTGGTCAAAGACCAAAACTATGCATGCTTTTCAAAATATTTTGAATACAATGGGAAATCATACTTAAAAAATCAATAAGAAAAGTTTTAATGATCTTAATTCATCTCGAAACTTTGAATTTATTTCCTTTGGTTTTTAGAACTCCCGAGTCCACCATGAATTGTACCAGTAACATAATGTCTGAACATCTGGTCTGACATTACATCCTCACAAGAGGAACTTAAGCTCATCCTGCTTGACCCCTAAGGAATTTATATGAAGACTGCACTTCTTCAGCAGCACATCCTAGGAAGAATTTCAACTCCCCCTGTCATGGGTAACCAATCCTCCTTTGACAAGAACCACATAATAGTGAACAAAAATACAAGACTCGTCTTTATGTTCACATAGCATTACACTCCTTGTTCAACACACCTGCTGAACATATTCACATATTTTAATGTCAATCATGAATCTTACAGGCACAGACGACTATGGTTCTTGAGAATATATCCAAATCCATTGAGATACCTCAACCAATTATCTCAAATCTTTGGTTAGGAAAGATGGTATTCCCATCAATCACCTTCTCCATAATAACAGATCTCTGTTCACTTGCTTCACAAGACTCTAATAGACCCATTCTTCCTAGAGTAACTTGTAGCAGAAGAAACCACTTCCCCACAAGCATTCTGATCTCAGCATGAGTCAGAGCACTAGGCCTGATGTCCAACACAGACCCATCATAAATCATAACATCCTCCAGGACATTCTTCTCCACATCATTCTCCAACATGATTAACACACTTCTAAATCAAATGGATAATTCCAAGTCATCTTCCAAAATCAGGTGTGATGTTGCAACATCATATAGGACATCAACATTTGCATAGAGGTCCTTCACAAGGATCTCACAGTTGCAGTAGCAAAAAATAGACATCACAACAGATAGAATACCATTGAGAGAAATAAACTTGCATACCTCTCATGAAGCTTCCTCCAGAACCACAAAGTTAATACAAATATGAAATCATCCTTAAGCACCTTAAGAAAAGATTCTCTCTATAAACAACAAGGCAAGGAAGGAACTGGCTACTTCTCAAGTCTTCTGTCTTCTATTCTTTTGAACAATCCTCTATACAACAAGGTGCATCAGCATTTGAAGAACAAATGATACACATTTTTGGACCCATGCTTAGACAGGAAACTATGGTTATTTGACACGGCTTCTTATAAAGGTGATCGATGGTCCACCAATAAGACTAGATCTTTCAATTTTAAATCCTCCTTGCACCATCTAGAATTCTGGAATGCTCATACCAAACAACTTAGATGAGACTCCAACTAATGTATATAAACGCCAATAAGTTTATAGTTCCTTTGAATATCAACTACTGAATGATTCACACAAGTATAAAGAAATTTTATAGCCCTTTACACACTCCTGAGCCAAACTCTCAATTAAAGATCAGCTTATCCTAAGATGTTGCTGCTCCACATTATGATGTCGAAACATCAATGGCTTAACAGGCTGTCTAATGAAATACATACTGCCTGATATAGTCTTGAAGATCTACAGGCTTCCAAACCACATCCTACCCTGGATATATTTTCCAACAAAGCTTGAGTTCATGTTCGAATAGGCTTAATCAAGATATCAAGTTTGATTAGACAGCCTCCATCCCACTTAACTGATCTTCAAGAACAGTTCTTCACTAGATTCTTTTGTCCTTGAGCAGACAATTCTTTAAGATCTATGAGCAATAGTCCTAGGCATTTAATCTAAACTTACATATCCCAATAAAGAAATCTTTAACACTTCTTCAACATAATACTACAAACTTCTTCATAGGTAGAAGTCTGGCTCCTGTGCTCTTGTAAATTAGATCAGAAATAAACTAACCCAAGAATATTCACTAGTTTGATGATGTCTTCACCTACATCAGCCTCTTTATTCAGGACATATTAAGGATATTTTGAGGACTACACATGTGATACTTATACAAAAGGAAAACATACACTTGTATCAGTCTTCCACGACTCTCACTTGGCAGGCATTAATCAGATTCATGGGACATGTTTTTGAGATTTCTCAACTAATGATATTGCACCCTGGTGTAACATCTAGACTTCGTATCTCTTGAATACAAAATAAAGTATAAGCAAATAAATACTTGTGGATGTCACAAATAGAAATTGATTTTAAATCCTTGTTCAGATGGCCATACACAATATCTAGAGGATATCAACACTATAGGGACACAAATCATGTATTTTCCCTTGTCAAGGACAACGTTGAGATGTCAAGGCTGACATCCTTGACTCAGCTTGCCTTTAACTATTATGGATTTCTCTTGCCAACTTAGCTGGCAAAACCCTATCAATCTTCCTTGATAAGGAGTATATCCTAACAGACCTGATCAAGCTTTGGGATCAGAGAATTACTATTACAAGAGCACAAATGATGAAAATAAATCACCTGCATCAGAAAAAAAAGCTCTTCAACAACAAAAATAAATTTCTCTTGTCTTTGTGTAGAGGTTTGTCACTCCCAGTGTATCTTCATCTTGATAATTTTCTCTTTTAAGCTCTTTTCACAAGTAGAAGTTCCATTATGAGTGGACTTGAGAGAAATATCAAGCATCTTTGGATACTTTATACATGATAAGAGTATTTACTAATAATTGGTCAGATAGTGAAAGAATCAACACAATCTTTCTCTTTATATTACTCCCAGTTGGTCTTGTACTTCTATAATGACTGACACCATCTTGCTCTATTAATCTGGGAAATGAGAAGCTAGACATCTATATCTTCGATGAGAACTTGAAGGGTCTTGAGAGACACTGAAGAGACTTTGACCATAATACACATATTTATCACTTCTCTAGACAATAACTCAAACTATTCCAAGAGTAGATCTTTCTTGAACCACAACTTAATGAACACACAAGTATACTAGAGTTCCTTCATCAGAGATGTAAGCAGCAGAACAAAACAGTCCTCAATAGGCTCCGGACAAGATGTAAAAAACATCTTATATGACATCATACGAAAGAGATATCCTAAATATCAGCCATTAGTTAGTGATTAGAGTATATAGACATAACTCCCTCTATCATATCGAAATCACCCCCTCCTCACCAGAAGACAAACCAACCTAAACATCACAGGTTCACACATGATAGAAACATGCAGTAGAAGAAAAAATTCCTCACGAGTAACATCATAGCCATAGAAGTAGCTACAATTAACACTTTGCTCCTTCAAGTCCATTGTACCAGAAACTATCTTCCCCAAACCTCACCCAGAACATAACAGGATGCATGCTCTGATACCAATTGAAATTCTGGTATATAAATAACAATGTCCTAACACATGTCAAGACAAAGATCTCTGTGTAACAATACCTCGACTATATAGAGCATACTGATATAATACTTATCATAACAACGTCATGACAAATGTTATAACATCTTGTACGACATGTCAATCAACAAGAAAAAACTGAACTATGCATAATAATAATAACACAAAGATATGATGACCCAGTTCGGTGTATAACAATACCTACTCTGAGGGCTACCAAGCCATGAATAATATTCCACTATCAGTAGTATTATTTTATGTAAACAACCTTAGGTTTACATGTAAACAACCTCTACTTTACCTAAACACTACCCAATGCAATATTTATCTCAGAACTCCATTTAAGATAAGAGAAACTCATCTCACTCCCTAAATTACCTCAGGGATATCTAACAATCACAACCTCTGGTGACTGCATCAAACTATTTGAAAGACACCCATTTCAATATAAAGTTCAGCCAAGACTCTTGACTAACAAACATACTTGGATTTGCTTCAAATCTTCATCCAAGAACAATATACCATTAATTACCTAAAGGCTTATGAATCTATACATAAAACTATGTTTACCACAATGTATCAAATCGATACAAAGGGTAACTTACAACACAAGAAAGTACACGACTCTCAAAACCCTAAACCATTATTTTTACATTAAAAAAAGTTTTACACAAGGATTAGTTACATTTCCCTATGTTTAATTTTTTTCCTTTTTTAATCTTTAGTTGTCCATGGGTTCGAATCTTCTGTTACAATATTCCTTAATCCACTGCTAAAGCTCTCCTTAAATCTTGGAACAAATTTACCAAAATCATGTTGTAGCAGTCCAAGATGTCTAGTCTTCGTGGTAGGACATCTTGTTTGACATGTTGTTCTTCACATATTTTAACATCTTGTTCAACACCTTATTTTACCAAAATTATTCAAATCTTTAGAGATTTCAGAAGTATTTACACATGTCAATGCTTATGGTTCGAGAAATGGAACTGATTGAGCAATTCAGCGATATGATTTTAGTGTGTGAAGTAATTCCTAGCAGTGTGATGATGGGAATATTGAAATTGACCAGTGGTTTTCTTGAAGAGATCAAGGAAGGTCAGAAATATGATCCGAGTTTAGTTGACTGGTTACTTCTAATTAACCAAGGTAATGAAGGTGACTTTCGAGTTAACGAAAGTGGTGTGATAAGGTTCAAAGATAGAGTGTGTGTTCCAGATGTTCCACAACTTAAGAAGAGTATGCTTGAGGAAGGACATCGAAGTGGTATAAGTATTTATCCCGGTGAAATGAAGATGTATTAGGATTAAAAGAAATAGTTTTGGGGGTCCGGTATGAAGAAGAAAATTGCTAAGTTTGCTTATGCTTGTTTGACTTCTCAAAAGTCAAAGATTGAGCCTCATAAGCCTTTGGGTCTGATGCAACCGTTTAAAATTATGGAGTGGAAATATGATAGTATTTCCATGGACTTTGTGTGAGATTTTCCAAAGACTGATAAGGGAAATGATTCAATTTTGGTGATAGTGGATAGATTTACTAAGTCAACTTATTTCTTACTGATGAGTATCAATCATCCTATGCAAAAGTTGTATGAGATGTATGTCGAAGAGATTGTGAGATTACATGGTATACCTTCGAGTATTGTGTTAGATAGAGATATGAGTTTTACCTCAAATTTCTAGGAAGGCTTGTAAAAGGCTTTGGGTACTAAGTCTAGCAGTAGAAGTGTTGAGACTAAGCCATTGAATTGACTTGACTCGCACAGATCAAAATAAAAATCGCCACTGTGCTTTATTGTTTCCAATGGAATGGGAAAAGAGCGAATAACCCAAAAAGATGGGGAGAGAATCTAAGTTTGCGGGTTGGTTATGCAAAGGGTAGGTATTAGTACCCTAAACATCTACGGTACTCCGTAGGAACCTCTTTGTAAATCTGTGTATTTTGGCTATAAATGTTGTATAAAAAATAGATTGTAGAGATGAGAAAGAAAGTATTTTTTATAACTTTTACACCCGCCGCGGTTGTGAATCTTTAGTGTCTACGTACCACCTTTTGTGCAATAGGTGATTAGGGTACTCGTAGTTCATCTTTTAAAAAGTTTTAAAACCCAAGTGTGTTGGTTTATTTTAATAGATGAGA